CACCCTGCTAACACGAAGGCTGGACTCGAACCGCTGAAGCATCGACCATTTCTGGCCGGCAGCTTTCAGCATCATTAAGTCGCTGCGCCACCGCGTCCCCCTGCAGGTTACCCTCTCCTAACTATGATTATAATTTTAAAAACGTTTAATTACCAAAATTCCCAAGTTGACTTGGGTTAGCATAACAGATGGTTCCATTTACAGGCTCTTCCATTCTTTTGCTGTAGCGTACAGTGGTTTATAAGAATGATGGTCCCTGAATTTGCCCCTGCAGAAGCCTATAGTTTTGCACTGATGGACATATTATTAGAACAAATAATCATGAATTAATGGAGAAGATTCAAGCATTCCAAATAAAGTTGGACTTGGGGCTACAAAGCCGGGGTAAGACCTCTGCTTGGCAAGATGCACTGCACTAGATCCACCACTAATCCCGCACAATACAGAAACAATTCTCCTCTGTCTTCAGTTAGACCAGATTACAGTTGTTATCTCTTTTGTACAAATAGATTCCTGACTACAAATCACTACTTGTTAACTACTGTGAAGTTTAACACAAGGATGTCTGTGTGATCAATTTTTCCTTGAGAAAGTGGAGCCTAAGACACAAATTCTTCCAACCTACCTATTTCTGAAATATTCCAAAATATTACAGTTCCCGACCCCGATTTGAAACTTGAGTAAAAAAATTACAAATATTACCTACCTGCTATTTTTGTTATGTGGTGAAACCTGATCTCCTGTTTGGTTAATACCAGTCAAAGTCACTCCATCTGTAGCCTTTTTTTTCTCCCTTCTACTCAGAGTACGGTTCAGATCAGCTGACCAATCCTATGACAAAGAGCCACAAAAATTTTTTAAAGGAACTTGTTACTAGAGAACACCAGCCACTCTGGCTTGGAGGTCTCCATTATGTCTAAAAACGTGACAAGATCTACAAAGCTAGGACAAAATTCCTTCACAATTCCAGTACTGTTTTTAAGAGACATCACACTAAATTATAATTAAGCATCCATACCTATGGCTTAGAATAACAAATGAAAGCACTAGCTTGAATTGCATGCCCCAATGCTTTTCTGCATTTCCTTCATACTACCTTACCCCCCATCCTGTACTTTATTCTCTCATACAGCACACACATTCAGAACATGAAAGAAAGAATATTCATTTAACATACTTGACATACATTGAACTGTACAAACAGAACCAAGCACTCTAGGCCCAAAATGATCTCTAGCATTTAGTATAATTTAAGATTAGGCATATAAAATATTTGCACATCTTTCAGCCTGACACCCCTGTATCACAGCTTCTTCAACAAGCTTTTTCAAAGGATACTGGGGCCTGGCAGAAGATTCCATTTGCTTCTTTTAGGGCCAGGTGGCTGATTTTGATCCTTAGTGTTTTAATCATAATCCAACGTTATGATTTGCAAAGCTTGCATCTAAACTTAAACATGTAAATGTATATAAAATAAACATTACAGAAGGAAGCTAAAAAAGTATACCTAAAATAAACTATGATGCAACAGGTTTTCATGATTACTTATGAAGCTTGAATAAGAAAATTAAAAAATTATTCTACATAAAACTAACACTTACTTCATCCTTGTTGCATGAAAAGCAAATAAAATACTTGTTAGGAAAGATAATATTTTATTGTAACTCATTTAAAACTTATATCTGTTTTTTTAAAAAAGCTTGCTGTTTACAGCATTTGAAATAAATGACAAAATACAAACGTTAAAAAACACAACACATGAGATTAAAGCTATGTTATCACATTCATAATATATGCAATAGTATATTAATACTTCACAGTTAGATGGAAAACACAAAATATATTTATTTATTTATAAGGTATCCTATGCAAAGTAATTGAAATTAAAAACTAGTGCTATTTGGTGGGTTTTATTACGAGTTGGGCGGTGCCTAAATTTGAAATATAAATAAATAATAAACAATTAACGTTACACCCAGTTTTCTTTTGCACATTATCCTACCAATATCCTCTGTTCAAGTGTTATCTCCTCACTCAAATTCTAGCTTGTTTCATAGTTTTGCTATAACATCCATATAATTTAATATTGCAGCCTAATTTTGTTGATGTCAGCAAAGCAGACTGCACTAGGAAAACACTGTATTTGTCTGTCAAGATGCGCCAGAATTTAAGACAAACTTCTTACCCCCAAAAGGAGCATTATAGAGAAAAAGCTTTTAAACAGACACAAACATCTTGTACATTGCCCTGCTTTTGTACACTATGGGTGATCAACTCCAGCTGAAACCAAGCCTGGAGATTCCTCCTGCTCCCCAAAATAAATGTGTGCTTGTAGTATACATACATTGGTGTGTGTGAAGTCTCATTCATGTCAACTTCAAATCCTGGTAACTTCAAGGATATGTTTTGTTTTATATATTTATTAGATTTATCGAGGCCACTCAATTTCAAAAAGACTCTGGGGTACTTACAACGTATCCAGTCCTCAGCTTAATTGGGACCAGAATTGCTGTCACTAAGCCATGCGGTTGTAAAGTGCAACATCACGTGACTGCATGGCTTAGCAACGGCAATTCTGGTAGTCCCGGTTGCTGTTGTTAAGTGAGAACCATGCAGGTCATTAAGTGAGGACACATGTCTGCAACATCCGACTTCCTGCCAGCTTCCCCATTGACTTTGGTTGTGGGAAGCTGCCAGGGAATATTGGAAATCACATGACCGTGGCTTGCTGCGACGTAATCACAAGCTAAGCGCCACGCAACCGGATCGCAATCACATGACCACAGGGACACTGTAATGGCTGGAACTATGAGGACCAGTCATAAGTACCATTTGTTCAGCACCATTGTAACGTTGGATGATCGCTGAACAAATGGTTATAACTTGAGGACTACCTGTATATACGTTAAAAAACACAACTAAAACAACATGACTGCCTGAACTGAAACAGCATTCCCAACATTCAGAACAAAGACTTGATAGGGGATCTACAAACACCCAGGCCTGGGAAAAGAGCCAGGTCTTAAGAGCCTTCCTTAAGGACCACCTAGGAGAGTGGGCGCCATACGTATCTTGACAGTAAGAGCTGTCAATCAGTGGAATAGGTTATTGCATGGAGTAGCTTCTTCCCCTTCACTGGAGATTTTCAGACAAGAGACTGGATAGTCATCTGTCAGGGAATGGTGTAGTGAAGCCTGAAGTGTGTAGGGGGTTGGACTTGATCTCTTCCAATTCTATAATTCTGTCTCCAGGATGAGTTTGTGTGTGCTGTTGCAGAGGCTGCAAAAGAGGCACACTTCCTTGATCCCACAAGATGTCAACATTTAATTGAGAGAACCTGGAGCACACCCTCTCTGCACCAGGCGGCACTGCACTCTGCAACTGGAGACAGGCAGTCCTTTAAATAACCAGGCCCTTTGCCAAGAAGGACTTTATAGGTAATGACCAGCACCATGAATTGCATCCAGAAGCCAAATGGTAACCATGAAGCTCTCATAGCAGCAATGACACATGGGCATAACAAGAAGTGCCCATTACTGCTTGCACTGCTGCATTTTGAACCAGCTATAGCTTTAGGATTGTCTTCAAGGGCAGCCCCATACAGAATACACTGCAATTATCCAATCATGAGGTGAGTAAGGTGTGACTGCGTGCCTGAAAGGCCTCCTAGTCGAGGAAAGGACACAACTGGCGCACAACTGAACCTGTGCAAAGTCCACAACTGAATCTGCTGCCACCTGCTCTTCAAACAGTAGCTCTTTGTGCACCAGTCTCAAACGGGAAAGTGCAACCTCACTGAAGATCAGTGGTGAAAAGACCAAGGAGCCCCAAACAGCCACAGCTATTCAGTCATGTCAAAATTGAGCTGAAGTCTGTTCCTCCCCATCCAGACCAGAACAGGTTCCAGACAGTGAGTCAATACATTGATAGTGCCACCTGTACAGCCCAGAGTTGAGATGTTGAGTGGTGCTTAAAAGTTAGTGAACATTTTAAAATGTTCAATATTTTGGCAAAAATATGACCTAAAACGTGATCTGTTCTCCACACAAAACTAAATAAAGAGAACCCAAATTAAACGAATGAGTAAAAAACATTATACTTGTTCATTTATTTATTGAGGAAAACAATCCAAAGCTACCTATGTGTGTATTGCAAAAATATGTGCTTTCAGTAATTGGTGCATCCCCTTTGGGCAGCAATAACTGCAACTAAATGTTTCTGATAACTGTTGATCAGTCCTGCACATCAGCTTGGAGGAATTTTAGTCCATTCCTCCTTACAGAACAGCTTCAGCTCAGGGAGGCTGGCGGGCTTCCTTGCATGAACTGCCTGCTTCAGATCCTTCCACAACATTTCTACAGGATTAAGGTTGGGACTTTGACTTGGCCATTCCAAACCATTAACTTTCTTCTGCTTTAACCATTCTTTGGTGATACACCTTGTGTGTTTTAGGTTGTTGTCTTGCTGCATGATCCTCTTGAGCTTCAGTTCATGGTTAGATACCCTGACATTTTCCTGTAGAAGTTGCTAGCACAATTCAGAATCCACAGCTCCATCCATAGTGGCAAGCTGTCCTGGTCCAGAGGCAGCAAAACAGACCCAAACCATGATACTACCACCACCAAGCTTCACAGATGGGATAATTGTGTTCTTATGCCACACTTCAGTGTTTGCCTTTCAACAAACATAATGCTTTTCATTCAAGACGAAAAGTTCTATTTTGGTCTCATCCATCCACATGGATATTCTTCCAGTAGTCTTCTGGCTCATCCACATGGCCTTTTGCAAACTGTAGATGGGCAGCAATGTTCTTTTTGGAGAGTACAGGTAGACCATGCTTATTCAATGTCTCATGCAGTGACCATTCGAAGTTACAACAGTGCTGAAAAAAATAATTTTGTGACCAAGGTGCACACTTACGACCTTTGCTATGTCCCTCAGTCACACGATCGCCATTATAGTCATGACATGTCTGACCCATTTTCTTTTCTCTCCCCCCACCATGCAGACCAGAGAGATCAGAAAGGAAGGGATTACAAGAGAGTAAACAGGGACACAAACCTACTTACTCTCTTGTAATCCCTTCCTCTCCAATTTCCTCGCTCTGCAAAGGGAGAAAACAAAAATGGTCAGGCACAGGAGAGATTGCTTAAAGAGATCGCTTGTTTAAGCAATCTCTCCACTCTGCGAAGGGGAAGAAAAAAAGGAAAAACCATTTTGGCACAGGAGAGATTGCTTGTTTAAGCAATTTCTCTGCTCTGCACAGGTGGGGAGGATATGGGTCAGGCACAGGAGAGATTGATCTAAACAAATATCTCTTTAGGCAATCTCTCCTGTGCTGACCCATTCCCCCCCACCCCTGTAGAGTGGAGAAATTGGAGAAGAAGGGATTACAAGAGCGTAACCAGGCACACAATGGGGAATACACATTGAAAGGAATGCGCTAGCACTGGCTGTTTGCCTAGCACACTTGGAGCTGGGAGCCACAAGCCTGCTAGGCAAACAGCCGACACTAGCGCATTCTTTTTGATGTGTATTTCTCATTGTGTACCTGCATTGTGTAATCACTTCCTCTCCAATGAATGTAAAAAGAAACATTAATTCCCTTCTTGCTAATTAACCTAGCACTGGAGTGAGCATTACAAAGGGCAGGGAAGTGGGGGAAATGGAAAGTACAGTCGCGGTCACATGATTTCCTTACTTAGCAACTGAGTTGCCACTCCCAATTGTGGTTGTTAAACAAGGATTACCTGTAGTGTCTTTCTTCTTGCAACCCTGCCATGCACACCACTGTTGTTCAGTGTTCTCCTGAAGGTGGCTTTTTGAACACTTACATTTGCCAATGCAAGAGAGTCCTTTAATTCCTTAGACATTACCCTGGGATTCTTTGAGACCTCCTGGAGTATTACACGCCTTGCTCTTGGTTGGCGATCACTCCTGGGGAGGCTAACAATGGTGTTATATTGCCTCCATTTGTACACAATTTGTACACAATGGACTGGTGGAGTCCAAACTTTTTGGAAATAATTTTGTAACATTTTCCAGCCTGATAAGCATCAACAACTGTTTTTCAGAGGTCCTCAAAAATCTCCTTTGCTCAAGCCATGACATACTTCCACATACCTGTGTTGTGAAGATCAGACTTTGATAGTGAATACCCAGAATTCCATTCTTTAAATAAGGCAGAACCTCCCACACTCACACCTGATTCTCAACCCATTGATTGAAACACCTGATTCTAATTTCCCCTTCAAACGATCATCCTAAAGGTTCATATACTTTTGCCACAAATATGTAGCTTTGGATCCTTTTCCCCAATAAACAAACAAACGAACAAGCAAACAAGTATAACCCTCTGGTTCATGAAAATTCTATTCTATGTACCAGTATGGGAGACAGACAGGGATTCCAATCATTATCAACAATCCCAATTGATTTGCTGTTCCAATATATATATCCCATTCCAATAATGCATTTCTATTGGAAGCCATTTAGAAAAGGCTTCAAAAATTTAAGATCAGAACATACTAGAATATGTAAAATCTGGGTTATGAGCAGAAAGTGATCAAGATTCAAAAGAATCTCTACGACTGCTTATTAATTCTGAATACTGAGAGATCAGAAAATATGAAGCCAACATAAATCATCTGATATGATGTGAAGGAACATTAATTTTTTTTCAATTAAAAACAATTAGGAAAAATATTAAATGTAGGGGCTGCATTGTATGTAAAGGTAAAATTATATATTTGTGAAAGTAAATTCTCCTCTGTCAGGCTTGACTCTTGGTGACTTCAAGGACATGACTAGATAATCTCCTCGGCAATAGTAGAAAGTGATTTACCACAGCTGCTTCCTGGGATATTTTTTGCTTTCCAAAACTAGCCTACACCATGGAATTACATAGAAGCCTCCCATCCTAGTAATGACCAGGACCAATCCTGCTTACCTTTTCAAGATCAGTCAAGTCAGCTAAGCTATGCAAATTACATGTACCAAAGCTTTAATTAATTGCATTCTCCCTATTTTGGTTCCTGGATTTGTAGTAACGGGGAAGACTCTGTGGTCTTGATTCAGTTAGGCACATCTCTGCTATTCTTATAAGAACCAAAAGAAGACATTTCTTCTCTTATAACAGAGGGGGGATGCTCCGGGCCCCCTTGGCAAAAGAACTCCGACTAGTGGGGTCCAGAAGGCGGGCCTTCTCTGCTGTAGCCCCCGCCATTTGGAATATCTTGTCCCTGGAGGTGAGACAGGCCCCCTCATTCCCGGCCTTTCGAGGGACTTGAAGACCTGGCTCTGCCATCTGGCCTGGGGTGGGGAGGGAGGTCATCAGATGGGGGTTGGCTAGCCCCCTAGAGGCCTGGTGTTGCTACCATCGGCCTCCTGGATTTTTTTTTTTTCCCCTTTTATTTCTGTAAACGTGTGCTGTTATAAATTTTAACTGTATATCTATTTATTGTTTTAATATGTTGTGAGCCACCCAGAGCCCCCATTGGGGGGAGATGGCCGGGGACAAGTTAAATAAATAAATAAATAAATAAATAAATAAATAAATTTGCAAGAGAAGCTTCAAGGAACCACAAGAGGAACTGCAAGCAAAGTAAAGCCTTTACCTCAAACTGGGGCCAGTTCATAGACATGCCAGGTCCATGATTAGCTCTGAACCACCTTAGATCTTCCACAGCATCTGATGCTTTAATGTTCTGCTCCATGTCACGATAAATATTTTTATAGCTGTAAACAGAGCATACTTACTTAGAAATCATTACAGATCTAACTGGAATATTCAGGCAATCATTAGTTTACCTAGGGATCATTTTAGAATTTTCATATGAATATCTAATGAATTAGGAGATTCCCCCATTTTTTCTAATACCAAATAAACACAATTCATATGAAAAAAAACCTGAAAAAATGTCTGTTTTTTGTAATCCATTTTTGGTAAAATAAGAGAAAAAAATCCTAGCAATAAAGAGGATAGTCATGGCATTTAATAAATAATTTTAATAACTAGACATTGGAATATATCCCCAAGTCCATTATAGATTTAACTAGTTCATGTATTTTTAATATTAGATGTAATTTTAGATGGTAGCAAACTATAAAATGAGTTCAAAACATGGGGGACAAACAATGGGTTAACATTATTGCAGGATAGCATTTTAAAATAAGAAAGCTTAAAATAAGAAAACTACCATGAACCAAAATTTCTCTAGGTCATTTTTCAAAAATGAAATCAGCATCATAGCAATATTTAGTATGTATATATGTATGCATTATTAATTTACTATATTTTATATTGCCATATTCCTGAAGGACTCTTGGTGGCTTAAATGTAAAAACCTCAACAATTCTCTAGCGACTACCTAAGTCTTAAATTATTCCTAAAAATATACAATTCATAATCATTAGTAGGCATCCTGAATAACACAAATCTTAACCCTCAAAGGAACCTGCTTAGTTTTAAAATACTTTTTGAAAGTCAGGAATGAGGGCACCATCTATATCTCTGGTGGAAGACAGTTTCAGAGGGGTTGGTACTACAACTGAAAAGCATTTGTTTTTTGTTCTCCACTAAATCTCCCATAGGAGATTTGGAACCCTCAGCATTCCAACCTGGGATATGGATATTGCATAGACCCAGTCTGAAGTAGCCAGCCCTGCAAGTACCGGGGTGCCACTCAATATACAGTTTTACAAGTCAAAACCCAGAAGTATATTGGTAACTGATGCCCATAGCACCAGTTTTCTGTGCAAGTAGCTGCTCTAACCTGTCAACAAGGGGGATGCTACATTTTGCACAAACTGCAGCTTCTGAGTTTACAAAGGCAGACCCATGATGAATGCACTGTAGTAATCTATACGTGAGCTGAAAACCACTCAAATTAACCTGGCTGGGCCTCTTTCTCCACAACTGGAGCACCAGCCAAAGCCGGGCAACATTCCCTCCTTTAGCCACAACCTCTCTTGCCTATCTAGTAATAACAGTGAATCTAGGAAGACCCCACCTTGCAGACCTGGTCCTTTGGGGGAGTCATATCTCAATTAGAGACACTGCTGAAGCAGATAAAATGCCGGATGGTTTCTGAGTTCAGTCTCAGTGGAATTCACCTTCAGTTTGTTTCCCCTCATCCAGATTTTGACAGCCTCCAAGTACCAGGTCAATATGTCCACTGCATCAATGGCTCAGCCTGAGATGAAGATGTATAGCTGGATATCATCATTGTACTGTTGATATCCCACTCCAAATTGCCGTATAACCTGCCATAAGCAGCTTCATGTAGATGTACAGGTAGTCCTCGACTTATGACCAGAATAGGGAAAACTTGTTAAGCAGTGCGGTTTGTTAAGCAGGCACCCAATTTTACAACATTTTTTGCAGTGGTCATTAAACAAATCATGCAGTTGTTAAGTGAATCATGCAGTTCCCCACTGATTTTACTTGTTGGAAGCCAGCTGGGAAGGTCACAAATGGTCATCACATGACCCTGGGATGCTGCAACCACTGTAAATACATGTTGGTTGCCAAGCACCCAAGTTTTGATCATGTAACCACAGAGACGCTGCAATGTTCATAAATGTGAGGACTGGTCATAAGTCACTTTTTTCAGTGTTGTCGTTTTCAGTCGCTAAACAAATGGTGTAAAACAGTAGGGAAAAGAGACAGATTTGTCCTCCCCATCGCCAACTGGAACTGTCCACACAGGATCAAATTGAAACCGTTATTAGACCATGCCCTCAAATCCCAAACATCACAGGTTGAAGATCAGAGGGCCACTCCCTCTATCTAGGTCCTGATGTAGATGATCCACCAGTGCAACCAATGCAGTTTTTATCTTGTTCTCCAGGTGTTTTGCAGGGAAAGTTGGAGACTTCATGGAATACCATGGCTGGATCTAAAGGAGGAGGCATGCCACTGGCCCTTTCAAAGGTAGGTGGCATCACCTTTTCTCCTAGTGAGGCGTGCATAGTCTCCCTGATTCAGCTGATCATACCCTCCATCAACTTCCTGAAGGAGTTAAGTGGAGCATGGGTCCAGTCCATATGTGGAAGAGCTCATACTACCAGCACTCAATCCACTTTGCAAGAATCCATGGAAGGAAATTAATCCCAGATTTCATTTCCTCATGTCCTGCCCATGTGAAGTTGAAATATGAGCAAATTTGAGCAATTCCATCAGTGAAATATTGCTTTGAGTACTTATTTGCACAATCTTTTTGTACAGATTGAAATCTTTTTCTTAGAAAAGGAAGATTTGTTACTCAAGATTTCCACTACCATTTTATACGGATAGAATATCTAATTGAGCAGCAGTTCTCAAAATGTGGTCTGGGGACCCATGGGGATCCTCCTGACCCTTTCAGGGCGTCCGCAAAGTCAAATAAATAAATAAATAAATATTTTAAAATTTCTCAGTTTTAATTTCTAATACAATAAATATTGATAGATATAAACCAAAGCTCTTTGGGGTCCTCAATCATTTTTAAGAATGTGAAAGGGTCTTGAGACCAAAATGTTTGAGAACTGCTGTAATAGATTATCTACTGTAAAGTGTTCATACTTTAAGGTGATTGGCATTAATTTCAGTTCATCCTACACTTTAAAGCATTTTATTAAAATGAAAATGATATCAAATCAAGTGTATTTGTCTGAATACTCATTTCTTGCAGAGGCATTCAGTATACACCTCTTTGCTTTATTTGGACAAGTTAAAACTTATTTTAAGATGCCTTGCTTACGAAAATAACATCTGACAATATCATAGTAGAACTGCAGAAGAAAGGCAAGGAGTGAGTGATGGGCACCCCTTTTCCTAGGTACATAATTTGTTCACCTTTTTAGGCAGTAAGCGCATGTAAGATTATGGGTTAATCTTGTTTCTTATCTTGCATTTTGGATATATCTGAAAGTGTTTATCTCAGGCTATGAATCAATGATACCCGAATAGCACGACTTCAGACCTTTGATTACAGGGTTAGCCACCTGGTGTAGGGAGTTAGACCAGTATGGTCAGTTGTGTTTCTTTTTTCTATCCATATCTGATGAAATGTCTATGGCATGTGCTTGGGAAGATATTTTCTCATAAAACCCAGAAGTGATTAGTGCAGAAAGAAAGGTATATATTCTCTAGATTACCTAGATTATTAGTAAAGAGATGAGCGTCAGTATGTCCTACTCAGGAAAGGTAGGCCTATTACACTAGCTGGATTAATCTGGGGAACATCCATAGCTACCTTTGATGAGGATGAGGGGCTACTGAAGATATATTATACTCTGTTCTATATTTACACCCCTCTACTGAATGGCTTGTTTTACTGCCATATCTGTGGATATTTCCTGGTTTGCTTAATACAATATTTCAGCTTTTACCTCATCTATGTGCTTACTGCTTTTTAATCCATGAACCTTCTGCCTACATTTTAGCATGGTAAAAAATACAGAGTAACTCTTTCACAAAGAAGAATACACTTTTGTGATACTGCTATTCATAAGAAGCTGGCTTTTCTCTTTAGCAGAATAATTATAAACTAGCAAATTTATGCAAGCCTAAGCCATTATTTCTTTAGAACAGATGACAGTTCTGGTTGTAATGTACTGGTAATTTTACAAATCACTCTCAATCACAGTATTTTAAAAATTAAAAATGATGGGATTTGTTATTTTAAGGGGTATTTACTAGGGGTATTTAGAATTGACTGCTAAGTTGCTTAGTCTTAAAACTATGTTTATTCTGACTTTAATCTGTTTACAAAATAAAATGGTAAACAATACAATATAATATATAGCAGCAGTAGAAATAGGTACTTCTTTAAGTTTTTAAGGCCCACCAAAATAAGATCAGGAGGGAGCTTTACCAAAAGGTAAAGGGGGAAAGGACATTCTGTGTAGGTGAACATCACATGGATTTTCTCAATGGATGCATGGGCAGGATCCTGGATCTCGTTTTATTTTATTTTTTATAATATTTTTATTAATGTTTTACACAAATAAAAGCTAATACAGAACTAAAAAGATATACAAACAAAAAAGAAACAAGAGAAAGAGAAAAAAGAAAGACATATAAAAGTGACCTCCCTCCCTTTAAACAAGTATAAACATTTACAATAGCTTAGCATCTTCTCTAGTATTACAGAAAAAAACCTCTTCTTCCCATTTTTCATCCCTTAACAATAGCCAAATTATAAAAAAATCATCAATCAATCTTCCTCAGCAAAAGCATTAAGAGTACCAGTAATAATAACCTGTATGTTTTAACTTAAACAAGTTCATTTTCCATTCTGACTTATAACTTTCTCTAGTGAGTAAAAAAAAAAAAAAAGATTTATCCCCATTGGCATAAAGAATACTACTACTAACAACACATATATTTTAAACTAAATCAAATAGGTCCCTTTTACATTCTAACCTATAATTTTCTGTAACAAATAAGACATAGAAAGTTTATCCCCATATGAAAAAAATCTTTAAATCCTCATCTTACAATCCTGGTTAAAAAAAAAGATTCAATTCAATTCCAGCCCAAAATCACAACTTATAAAATTTAACCCTGATCAAACAAGTCCACTTTGAATTCCTTTTTCATCTTTTTAAAAGGCTTGATCTTCAATCCTTTCTTCAAATAAAGTCCCACATGTTGATTTCTTATCATTTTCTCCCTGTCTGTTTTTATGGACAACTTCAGAGATTCAGTACTTCCCTTATGTGAATCTAAAATAAGATAACTCTCAAAGTCACTCTTCTGATTTATTATTTGAATGTCCCCTTTAATTGTTTAAACATCAACCAGTATACTTTGTAGGTCCGATGTAACGTCTTTTTCCATATCACTCTTGTAGTCACTTTTAAGTCCATTTTCAAATCCACATCATCTTTTTTCCATTTCTTCCATACCACTTTTGTAATCTGGCAATTTTTTAAAATCTATTTTAAGATCCCTGTTCAAATCATCCAGAGCCCGTTTTATCCAATAGAATATTTTCTTACTCTATAACCTCTATTAGTTCCACTTTGAAAGTATCAGAACATTTTAAAAGTCCTGATTACATTGTTCTCAGACTTTATTACTTCTATAGTAAAATAATAATCTTCCATTATGTTAGTAGGTATCTTCTCCTTTAATTGCTCTCTGGTTCCCTCTAGTTAACCTTCAAAGCCTGGTCTTATTTTTTGTTTATTTTTAAAGTCAAAACTTTCCCACAGTAAGGTTTCTTACAGTTAATTCCAAAATCATTGGCTATATTTTTGTAAAATTTGAAACAGTTCATAAGAACTATTCTTTCAAATCCATCTGGCCCTTTAATTGTCCACAATCAACATTCTAAACTCCTTTTTGCTGTTTTCCCAAAGTTAAAATTCTTCTTTTTAATCTTCAAACTTACTTAAATCTTCTTTCTTCAAGGATAGAAGAAAATACTCCCAGTATGCAGCAACTTGCCCTTCAGAAGGTTTGTAATTTCCGAATAAATTGATAATAAGTAGTTTCCATTGTCAATTAAAAGAGTGTATGCAAATCTAGTGTCCTTTTGAAGGCTCCAAACTGTGACTTGGGATCGATGTTTCCCGTGACTCCCAGAGTGCTCAACCCACTGGAAATCACTATTTTGCGATCTTTTCACTGGGAGCCTCTGTAAGAAGTACTTGTGGGTGATCTAGTCATCTCCTTTACCCAGAGATGGTTCTGAAAAGCTGGACCCTGCGCCTGCTTCTCTTATTCACCATGGCCATCAAACTCTACAAAAATGGAAACATCTTCAATCCACCGTTACTCCCAGGGAAGTCTGATCCTGGATCTTGTTTTAGAAGCCAGGCAGTTTGACAGAGCAGTGCAGATGATCCAGCAAAATAACAGTTTAGGGCTTTAAAAACAAAGTGCCACCCAGAAGCACAGCTGGTTCAGAATATACAATGTATTCCTGGCAAGTAAATATGCAACTGCACTTTGGAGAAAACTGATGCTTCAGAACCATTTTTTAAAATGTATATTACTTCTCTCATGCAGCACCCTCTATCTTATATTCTTACCTTGAAACAATAGACAAGTCAAGATGTTTCTGAACTTCCAGCAACACTTCTCGAAAGAAACGCAGACGTTTTTCCTCAAACTGCTGACACTGTTCAAAAACCTGCTCCATATTTTCCATATACTGCGGTGTAGCGCTATCCAGGTCTTTAAGAGACTTTTCATACTTTTCTTTTGTCTTTAAAAATAAGCACATCAAGTTATCAAAAAAATATGGCTATATAATTTTACAAGAATCATGTTGCTCTCTCTTATGAAACTTTCATTTAGAAAGGGTCATTTTAACTCATTTGGAAATAAAGAATGGGTTATGTCTCTTAGAAAATGAGATGACAGATCCAAATACAGGTAGTTCTTGCTTAACAACAGCAATTGGGCTGGAATTTCCATCACTAAGTGATGTGGTCATAAAGTGCATCATGTGACTGCATCACTTAGTGATGGCAATCCTGGCAATCCCAGCTGCTGTTGTTAAGCAAGGGTCATGGGTCTTTAAGTGAGGATCTCACCTGACTGTGACTTGCAACTCGCTGCTGGCTTCTAACAAGCAAACTTAATGGGGAAGTTGCAAGTCCCAGGTGGCTCGCAAGCAGGGACTGTGGGCGGGCACTATGGAATGCAATCAGGGGGGTGCATGCTAAGGAGTACGAGATCCCCAGGATCTCGTACTCCTTAGCACCCGTATGCAGCCCCTTGCCGCATTCCCCAGGATCTCGTACTCTGTAGCTGGGTTCCTTGAGAGAAAAAGCGGCAGGAGGAGGAGCAACTTACAGGAGCAACTTGTGACCTTCCCTGCAAGCTTCTCCATTGACTTTGCTTGTGGGAAGCCAGCAGGGAAGGTCACAAATAGTGATCATGTGACCATGGGACACTGCAACCGTCATAAGTGCGAGCTGCTTGCCAAGCGCCTGGATCACAATCACATGACCGCAGGGATCCTGGACGGCCAGAACTTCAAGGACCCCTCGTTCAGCACCATTGTACCTTCAAACAATTGCTGAATGAGTGGTTGTTAACTGAGGACTACTTGTAAGTTAGTGGACTCCAACTAGTCTAGAGGAAAGACTAACATTGGTTTTGATCTTGTTCAGAGATACAAGAAAAGTAGTAAAATAAGGTCTGTGGGGTGATTCTACAAAGCTATCCATGCTCAGGTTTGGCAAACTGCTTCCTTTTATCAAGTCTTTAACATAGTTTTGGAATGAGTCAGGACATTAATCCTGGATGATAATTCAGGGTTAAAGCCACAGGCTCTCCTATTCCTCCACCCCTCTGTTGATATGGTTTTGAAGAGCTCTGAAGCTTTCATCTCCTTTTATGATTATAGGCAGCTGCTCATCTAATCATAGCAAATCATGGTAAATCTTAACAATGTTTATTTGAAACATGCTCACTTCTTTCTAAATCAGGTTGGATGCCATGCTAGACTGGAAGCCAAAGTGTACAATCTCCTTCTTGGAAGAAGAGGGGAAACCATGTACATTCAGGGCTTGCTTGTGAATGTTCACATCACAAACAACAGTCTATTCAATATGATCCCCATGAATTTTAAACAACTGGGGTAAGCAAAAGTAAGAATCATCTTGTAAGACTTGCACTATTATTTGGCAATCAGGAATATATTTCAATGAATTCATAAATAAAAAATATGAAATTTAAATGCACCCTAAAGAGATATCTATCAACCCCCAAAAGTGAACACTATATAACACTTCATTGCATTTTGAAGGTAGAAGTTTTCAGTCTAACAATTAACTGTTTCATATTGTTCAGTTTAAGTCATCTACTGTTCTCTCTCTCTCTCTCCATATGTCTGTGTGCACACACCCATCAAGTATACAGCTAGTCCTCAATCCCCAAAAGTGAACATTAAGATCAATTATATAACACTTCAGTGCATCTGAAGGTAGAAGTTTTCAGTCTGTTTTTAACAATTAACTGTTTCATATTCTTCAGCTAAGTTATCTACTGTTCTCTCTCTCTCTCTCTCTCTCTCCACATGTCTGTGTGCACACACCCATCAAGTATACAGGTAGTCCTCAACTTACAACAACAACTGGGACCGTAATTTCCGTCGCTAAGCAATGCGATCGTAAAGTGCAACCATATCGTTTAGCAACAGCAATTCTTGCAATCCCAGTTGCTGTCGTTAACTGAATCCCACAGTCATTAGACAAGGCAACTTCCTGCTGGCTTCTCACAACCAAAGTCAGTGGGGAAACTGATAGGAAATTGCAAATCCCAGGCTGGCTGGCAGGTAAGTGGCTGCCACCAGGTGGGTGAGGGAGTGAGGGGATGTGCAGCTGTGCGGGGGAGGGTTAGGGAGGGTGTGCAAGGGTGTGAGGGTGTGTGTGAGAAGTGCTGCATGAGCCAGGGAGGGTGTGTGGGGTGCACGGGTCAGGGAAGATTTGTGGGGATGCACAAGAGGTGCTGTGCAGGTCAGGGAAGGTGCGTGGAGATGCACGGTGGTACGCAAGAGCTACTGCATGGGTCAGGGATGGTGCGTGGGGTGTGTGCAAGAGGCAGTGCATGGGTCCAGGATGGTGCACAAGAGGCACCACATGGGACAGGGAGAGTGCATAGAGGTACCGTGCAATGTGTGCAAGAGATGCCACGCAGGTCAGGGAGGGGGCATGGGGGAATGGCATGGGTTGGGGAGGGTACGTGAGTGGCCAGCGCAGCACGAATGCAGAGGGAGTGGGGAGGGTGCACAGGTGAGAGATATCTCAGCGACCTGTGACCTTCCTGCAGGGTTCCCCATTGACTTTCTGGGAAAGCTGGCAGGGAAGGTTGCAAATAGCAGTTGTAAGTGCGAACAGGTTGCCAAGCACCAGAGTGTGATCACAAGACCACAGGGTTGTTGGGACTGCAGTAACTCTGAGGACCAGTTGTAACCACCATTCATTCAGCACTGTCATAACTTTGAATGGTCGCTGAACGAATGGTCATAAGTTGAGGACTACCTGTACTACTGTACATGCAACAGCATTAACATAAATGAAATACAAACCTTTTCCTTTCCCTAGGATTCATTAATCTTTATTTATTTATTAATTAAGAGCTAGGCACACTTAGTATAAAAAGCTTACCAATTCAGCATTACAGAAGTAGTATATAGTTTTCATTAGAAGCAATGCTTGTGATGCTTAGAATACATACAGTTTACCTTAAGCACATCCTGTTTACTTTTATCAACTTTGTCTTGCAATTTCTTTAGTTGTTCTGGATTCAGTGCTGGATCAGCTTTGCTATTAGCCTCTCTGGATATAGCAATTTTTTCTTCTTTGCATGCTGTATGATATGCTTTCTTAGAAGCTTCCACCTAGGAGACATTTTTTAACAAGTATAAAATCACAATATCCACTCAATAGCAAGTAAATAGTTTGAAGATTAATACTGTTACATGGGTCGAATGTGTAAATAAGTATAGGAAATGTTATCTTGAAAACTATTACAATGTTTTAGAACTTGCTTATCATAAAGCCAGTTTTGAGAAATGATGGAGTAAGGAAGTTTAGGAGTAACAGAACTCCTGCTTGATTCAGATCACTTCTTCTCTGAAGAGATCCATGATCACTCAGAAGCAATGCTTTTCTATGCAACCTGTGGAGGAGCCTCCCCCCAGAGATTTGCTACCCTGATATCCTTAAAGAAGACTGTGTAGAGGAAACATTTCCATAGAATGATTGATTACTGTTACTGGCTTTATATTAAATTATAAACTTAAAGCATTCTTGGTTTATTATTTCTGATCTTATTAGTATGTTGTGTGTTAAACTGCCAGGAGTTTATTTTGATTCTAGCAAATAAATAATAAAAAATGTGAATATCTGGAGAACAGTGCCAGCTGTGTATTTTCTTAGGTGGGGAACTCTTAACTTGAGAGGGCTTTGACATTAGTATCTCCTTGCTCATATGCCCAAAACAGCTAATAACTGTAATGATACATATGACAAATTAACTTTTCATTCAATTAAGATGTATACATTTACTCCAAGCAAAGGAAAAAAATGGGGAAACCTCATTTCACATTCACTCTTGCCTGGAATAAAGAAAAAAAGGTTTTACTCTGTTTCTTTAATAAATAAACTTAGATTTTGCCCAGAAACAGACCAACTGCTTTAGACTGCAATCAGTTCAGCCCTGCTTCTTTGAGTAGAAGGCAGAAAGCCATACTTGGAAGCAAGCCAGGGAGACAAAAGCAGAAAAGCAAGGGCACAGTTGATTAAGATGACCGGAAAATACAGTATGCAAACATAATTTACCTCTTTTAATTTTTTAGCCCATGGTTTCTGAGCTTTCCTAAACCCATCGTCAGCTTCCTTAGTTTCCTTAAATCCACCTATCATTTGCTTGTGAAAGGAGTCCTTCTGCCAGTTCTTTATCTTTTCGAAGTCCTCATTCATTAGAGCACTTTTTACTTCTAGGTGTAATTCGCTTACTTTTTCCGCCTCAGACATAAATGCATGCCAAGCCCTTTCAACAGTCCCATACTGTGGCCCTGAACGCAAAAGGGAAAAATGATATATCTGCAAAATGCACACACACACACATTAGAAAAACATGTTACTTTTCTTAACATCCCCGGCTTACTTTAAGGAAAGGGAATGGCCAAGTGGATCCAAGGAGTGATTAAGGGTTTTGTTCTTTTGACAAAGGGAGGGAGGGAAAGTAGTGGCACAACAACTATGTAAGAAATCCTCTTAAAAGTTGAGGATTATATAATGACTATTGATCAGTTTATAAATATCCTGCCCTCAGACAAAGTGAAGTATTGCTGTACAACTCTAGATATCTTAGATGAAACTGTATCTGAATCCATTTCCTTCTGGCTTCAGTATGGAACCTGCTTTGTTTGCACTGATTGATGAACCAAGAGTATGACTGTATGCAGGATTCAGAAGACTAGAGTTTGTCTTCTTAATGCACTGGGCTAGTGACATATTGCGACAGTACCTGTCATAAAATTCTGAGCTACATCAGATAGCAAAATATGGGAGCCCTCAACATGCTCAAGATCACTCTGTCTTGCAGAGAATGTGTTGGACAGTAGGATGGCCAAAACACCAAACAGTAGTTGATTTCGTAGATCATGCTAAACTATGATTTTTGAACAAGCCACAGACAAATCAGAAGGAAAGCAATCTTAGCGTGATGGTCAATTCCTGCTTTGTTTTCCTTCCCTTTTAACTGCTTTTGCCTTGCACTTTCATGCTTGAGTGGGGCACAACAACTAACCAGAGATAAGCCAGGAAACCACACACAAAAATTGAGTGTTCACCAGGCACATTACACTAATCCACAGATGCAATCATGAAGCCAAACTATAGTTTCAAATTGCAGTTTGCAATCACAAAACAAACCAGTTTATTTACTAACTCCCCTTAGTTTGGCCTATCACTGTAAGCCAAAAATAAACAATATTGTGGCTTTGCATGATGTGTGAAGCCAAACGGTATAAGAATTGGAAATACTCAGCCTTTTTTTCCATATCATATTACAATTATAGCCCATATTCCAGTTTGTGTCATATTGTAGTTTGTTGTCCTTACCTAGATGTAGGCCAAGGTTGTGGTTAAAATGGAGAGTCCAGTCAATTAAACATTTCACTAATGACTAGATTATGGTGATCTTCAATAAAATAAGGTGAAATGCAGTAGTAGTTACAAGTGTAGGTATTTTTATAGTCATGTACTTAGTGATTCTGGTCTTAAATGGGCAGTTAGTCCCTGCTTATCTGTTTGTTTGTTTTTGTAACAATCCAGAAAGTGCTGTCTGGACTGTTATCCATGGCTAATGCACCTTAGTGATTAGTATTAATATACATATAGTAAAATGAGTAAATCTACCCTAAATCACAAAGTTGGTTTTGCCTTAACATGCCATATGAATGCTGCCATTGTAAACGACATTTTACAGCACAGGTTCCCAACCTATTTGGATTAGAGGGCACATTCAGAAATTTTTGAACACATGGAAGTACTCTCAATATATTACATGTAGTTCCTATTTGGTGAGATACTGCAATAGTATGTTGGTTTGCAAGTTAGTCTCTAGACTGAAGATTGTGATTACTTGGAATAAAACTGAGCACATTTGGTATAGAACAGTTATGCTGTATTTGTGAAATCAAAAGAAAGGGAAATAATATAATAGATCTGAATACAGGTGGCCTGACTCTGTGGAATGGAGTAGGCAGATACATGTATGAAAGTGAAGGCATAGGTTAAATTATGATTGAAAAGATTAAAATGTATGTCAGAAAGTATGAACTCATGTTGTCAGGATTGTTGTAGGGGTGTGTGAAAATAGGAATTCATAGTTGGTGATAGTTCCATGTTACAGTGGTGATAATGAAAGAAACAGGAATGAGCTCCTTGTGCAACTTTATGAATGAATGGGATCTAGGGGAAAAAACCTATTCTGTTAAGTGATATAAATGGATAGGTGGGAATAAGACATAAGAGTGAAGAAAAAGTGACTGGGCCATTTGGAGAATCAAGGATGAATGGCAATGGGAGAAAATAGACAGGAAAGGAACTATTGTACAACAAATTAGAGCGAAAGTAGGCCAGGTGAAAAATGTAAGTGATTTTAGTTAGTGAAAAAAGCTAAATAGAGGCAAGTTCCAAATATTGACCCAAAAGAACCTGAATCAAAATATCTTCTCTGCCATCCCAAATATGAGAACTGTCCAGGCACATACCTGGTCCATTTAACAAGAGCTCAATACAGCAAATTGAAATCAATGCAAAAGTAACTGCTTTCCAATATGTAAAGTCTGTTATGAAATTATAATTCTTAATGTAATTATGAAGACAGATATTGGGCAGAAATATGTATTCCAATGACAGTTTCTCCAAAGTGTTATCAAGATGTTATTTTACTTCTATGTCATTTACTATCACCACAAATGCAGTACAAGTATCTAAAAGGGTATATTCAAGCAGCCATGTGCTTCACAAATATTTACATTTTCACAGATTTTTTTAAAGCTTTTATACAATGAGCTTCCAGGTCATTTAGTAAAATTATAACTACATTTCTTCAAACTTGAATCCTGCAAATATCACTGACATATCCATGAAGATTTCTTGGAAAATGAAACTGAAAATGGTTTGCCTGTGCCTTTTTCTAGGATGTTTTTTCAACTTCTGAGTGTAATCTACAGCCCTGGCATTCCATGGAGATCTCCTACTCAAGTACTAAACCAGCATTGGTTTGTTTCCACGCCCAAACAAGGTTGGCTAGGTGCTGCACTAGAAGTGTGCAAAATGTTTTGAATTCCAGACTGGCTATTCTGATCTAACAGGGAAGTGTTCTGATGATCTTTCAGTCTTACTAGAAATGTTCCAAAGTGGAAACAGGCTGTTTCAAATTTAAAATACCTCCAGTTTGGTAAAAGAGTCTTGGAACATTTATTTCTGGTCAAAACAAAGCCAAAAATATATGCACAAGTATGTGTAAAAGAGTATAATTAAAAATCATGTGTACCTTTTTCTACAAGTTGTCTCCATCGTTTTGCCCATTCGGTTAACTGCTGAGCATAAGCCTTCTCTATTCTTGCCCGCTCATGAATACAGTTCATAAGATCACCACAAAGTCTATGCCCATCATCGATGCGCCTCACTGTCCGCTTGTAGTTTCCAACCTACCAAAGAATAGAATGTTTACAAATACATCTTTAGGGAGAAAAAAAGCAATGTCAAAACTAGTTTCCAATTTTGTGGAAACTGAGAGAACCCAGTTAAACTGGAGTCGAACTGTCTGCATTTCCTTTAATATATATTATTGACTTCCAGTATTAAAGCTAAACTTGTAGGCTTGATTACCAATTTCTTATTATCTGAATACTTGCTTCAATTGCAGTCAAATAAAGCCTCCGTGATCTAAAATGTCATCCTAAATCTCCCTTATATTCTGCACTATTGTAATAATCTTACTCATTACAAAATTATTTGATGGGATTCCTTGAGAGGCAGTGGGTTGGGTGGGAGGCTGGACCTATTAGATCACTCTGCCCCACTTGACTGATGGACCTTACAGGGTTCCAGAGGAAGCTATTCCTGAAGGTCTGGCCGAAGCCTTAGTTGCTGCCTGGAATGAAAGGACAGCGGGGCTTTGGATCAGATCACACCTATGTGGACTTTCTCCTCTTGTGGATCTCAGAGCTCCTCCCTCAGGAGGAGCTGAGGGAAATGAAATGGGTAAAGAGACACCAAAAGCACCGCTGGAGGGCAACAAGGAGGGACTCCAACCAAGCACAAGTTAAAGTCACCATTAGGGCCTAGTAAGTGGTAGTAAGGGCAGTGAAACATCAGTGTTTCTCTCCCATTATTGCACAATGGATAGCAGATTTCACAATCTGGTGCAGAAGGACTTAGCTATAGTAACTCATGCCCTTATCACCATGTGACTGGATTAATGAGGTACTTTACCTGGGTCTGCCCCTAAACACTACTCAGAAACTACAACTAGTCCAGAATGCCGTGGCCCTGTATTTATCAACTCCCAACATTGAGAGCATATAATACCAATTCTAAGGGCCCTGCACCGGTTACTGGTAAGTTTCCATTTACAATTTAAGGTGCTGGTATTGTCCTATAAAGCCCTTCATGGCTTGGCACCTAATTTGCTACAAGACCACCTTCTCCTAACTACATTGGCCTGATTTCGATCTTGTAGGGAACAACTGCTAATGGTTCCATACCTTCAGGAGGTGAGGGTAGCTGAAGCTAAGGGAACACTGCTTCTCTGTAATGGTACTATTCCTTTGGAATGGCCTCTCATTAGAAATGAGACTTCCCTCCTCCCTGCTGGCCTTCTGGAATCTATTAAATACCAAATTATTCCAGAATGCATTTTCATGACCTGACTTAGTTTATTGTACCATTTTTATTATTTCATTCTTTTTTATTTTTATGTTGGTGTTTTATGTAGATTATCATTTCACTGTACTCACTATAAGTGCTCAGAGACAATTAATTACAATTTACTTATTGGTGTAAATTCAATGAGTAATTAAATAGCTTGAGGCCAAGATCACCAATAATTTGGTCATTAGGACACAGGATTCAGGGCCACTGGGCCAGAAGAGGGGATTGATAATCAGTTATTGAACTTCTTTGTCCTGGAACTGACCTTCCCAGTGTCCCCCACCATATTTCCTTTAGCCCATAACAGCCAGGATCAGCAGAGCTCTCTCACTGTATGGATATCATCTCCCAGCAGAATGCTGCAGCCTTGTGTAAGTGTGGCTGGGTGAGGGATGGGTGCTTCAGAGGGTGGGAGGATGTGCATGCAGCTTGTGGGAAGCCAGCAGGGAAGGTAGCAAATAGCGATCATGTGACCACAGGACATTGCAACCGTTGTAAGTGCAAGCCAGTTGAGAAGCACCCAAATCATGATCATGTGACCACGGGGGTGCTGGGACATCCAGAACTTCAAGGACCAGTCATAAGTACCCTTCATTCAGTGTCATTGTAACTTCAAAAGGTCACTGAACAAGTGGTCGTTAACTGAGAACTACCTGTAGGCTTTTATAATTTTAGGTTTCTGTAACTTATCCTGGGCTCTTTAAAAGAACTGCTATTCCAGCGCTATCTTGCCATTGGCAGGCTGCAGGATACCTACCCTTTGGATGCAGGTGCTGCAGTAACTGGGATACCCAACCCTAGTGGGGTTAGAACAAGAATGAAATCTATCTCCCTTGATAGTGAGCAAAAGAGCTCATATTCAGTTATAAATCTAAATAGTGTGGTTTTTGATCCCAAAGGATTATGGAAAACACATCATGACTATGTCTTTCAGGCAGCATTACAACCTTCTGCTGACTTTAGGTGCTTCCTTTTCACCAAGAGTAGAGACCTACTTTCTGATTGCCTTATATTATTTAATGTCAAACTTTAGGTTAGATCTTATACACAGCAGAGGTGGCAGTCTATACAAAGAAAAATATTGTGGAAGTGGTCCAAACAAAAATTCTGAGAGCTATTCTTGTCACTCCAAGGTGGGTAACCAATACCACTCTCATGCTTGAAGCAGGGATGCCTAAAATAGAGGTTATGGCTTGGGGGCTGATATCAGTTACTAGCTAAATAAAAACCAGTTTTTCCACACCTGTTCTATTGGCAGAAGACCATTATCTAAGCTGAAGGGGTGCTACAGAGTCCAAGTTAGCATCTCATGCACTCTTCGCTGGGTCAGCTTAACTGGGGTTACAAAAAAGGCAGAGGTACCTCACTGAAATGATAGATATGGAGTAGCAACTGGAGGTCAACAGGATGTCACATAGCAGCAGAACCAGGATTTCAAGGGACCTTGGGTGCCAGCCAAATATTTAACATCCCCAGGCTGATATTTTAATAATTTTTAAATATTGAATATCCCCCAGGCCAAGGAAGAACTTCTCTTGGGCATGGAAAAATGTGTTACCATTAGCTCTTACTGGGCCAATATGCCAAAATCCCCTTATCCTAATGAGTCTGCCCTTGTGATTCAAAAGAAACTGAAACCACTCCCATATACTGTTATATGGCAATCTCTATAGGGACATAGGGAGTTTGCTGATTTCACCTCTTCTGTGCAAGGAGAACTTCATTATATACGGCTTGTACTTTCTGATTCTAATGTTCTAAATTCTGTGTTGCTGCAGTTAAAACACAGTCAGATAATATATTTTATAAGTTTTTAAGTTTTTATTTATGGTTACCTTTTACTTTATTTTTATCTAGAACATTGATCATAATAAAGATTTTGATTTGCACTGCCACCATGCCCCAAATTTGAGTGGGGCTCGTAGATTGGTTGATGAGACACCTCTTGTTCCTCCAAAGATTTCTGTGTTGATATTTCATGGAGCTGCCTCTGCCAGGCTATCAGCCTTTTTCAGTGCAAAGCATATGGAACAAGGGAATTGGGAGCTCCTTACACCATACAACACTTTTTGATCCATCTCTATCACCTTTAACGCTCTTCAGGATCCTTCTACTAACTCCTATTTTTCCAACCTGACCAGGCAAAAAAACCCAACCCTATCATCTAGTAAACAAAACTAAAAAACATCTTCTCACTATGAAAATAACAGCAATCACATCATTTAAAACAAACAAACAAAACATATCTTGTATGATTGTGGTTGTTTAATTCAATCTTTGTTTCATCAGTCCAGAGCACTTTGTTCTAAAATGTTTCAGGTTTATTAAGGTTTTCTTTTGCATACTTTAATGATTTTTGTAGTGCTGTTAGAGAAAAGACTCTTTTCAACAACTGTACCATGCAGATACCTTTATAAGCAATGCTGTACTGTGGACCTGTGGACAAATATTCCAGTGTCAGCTAAACTTTTCAGCAGGTTGTTTGCAGTGATCTGGGGGTTCTGTTTTGCAGATCTGACTAGTTTGGGGGCAATTCTAATAGAGATGTTTCTTGGTCTAATGTCCTATAATTGGTGGCAAATTGTCTAGTTGATGAACAAATTGAAGCTGAAAAGTTGATTATTCCAGCAATACAACAATCTGAAATATATTACCAAATCAACTATGAAGTACTTACAGGAATGAAAGATTTTTGGAATGGCTTTCATAGTTCATACATATATTTTTAAAAAGCTGAATTATTTCAAACATGCAGTGTATGCAAGGAAATCTAAAATTATTTTTCATTTTAGAAGACTTCTGCAGGGCAAGAATAGAAAGACTCTTAGCTGGCTAGAGGAAGTATTTCAAACTTCCTATTTTTGTCAAAGGAGGTATTATAAAGTACTGACTGAAAGGATGTCCAACTGGCACATTCATTGTTTTCTGGCCCTGAATCTATAAAAACCTGCACAGAAATAATAAGTATATACTCAGATTTGCATAAAGATGTTGTATTTACTGTTGTGCCAGGTAGCAATTTTGTCAACTTCTGTTCACTTAAGGGTACAAATTACCAGAGGTACCTAAACTTTTGCACATAATTGTATTTTGTAGATCATTGCTTTGACTTAGTATAGGTTTGATGCAAACCATCTTCTACACATAACTGAGAAATTAAGAATGCTACAAGCTGATAGGATAAAACATTATTTCCAATAGAGGCGAATATATGTAGCTCAGGGTTGAGCTGTGGAGCTTCATGAAACGTTTGCAAGAAAAGAACCAAGCTCAGAGAATCCCAAGGACTCCACAAAAATTATTTCTGGGTCAACATTGATCAAGGTTAATTTTAAAAATTTGAGTTAGAAACTAGTTTGCTGACCTTAGTTAGCACTAACCATACTTTACAGGAAAAGCAAGCCTTAGGCATGTGATGATAAAGGGAACATTCTTATCAGTTATCTTCGATTACACTGTAACATAAAGTATGTTTAATTTAATGGATGTTTAATAGCTTTCAATGTTTTCCCATTTAGCAACTATAATAAGGCATATCAAGATACAATGGTGATTACAAATGTGACACTTAAGAAGGTTGAATCCATGGAAACTAAGGCAATTAATGGCTATTAAGATTGTTATTAGTTTCACTTTCTGAGATTGTACATTGCTTAATTTTGTTACCAGGGAACAAAATCAGGGCCCAGGTACTCTATTCACATATCTGATTAACCAACTATGGGAACAGAATGATAGCTTAGCTGGAATTTTGACCCATCACATTCTTAATTTT